ATCCATCTCCCCGATCCATCCCCCCGATCCATCCCCCGAACCATCCCCCCGAGCCATCACCCCGAGCCATCCCTCCCAACCATCCCCCGAGCCCGGCTCACCGTCCCCGGCCGTGCCCCTACACCTGCCCGAGCACTGGGGACACCTGGCCGGCTGGGGCTGCCTCACTGCCTGCCAGCGACCTGGGACACAGCTGCGAAAGGAACAACTTTCTGCTAAAAAAATGCAACTTAGGCAATGGATCTGCCGGGAATTCTGATAAACTACATCACCCTGAGAAACCTGTGTCTGTAAAAATGGTGAAACTTGGCTGTGACTTTGGGACAATATTTAGCTTAAACATACATCAAAGGAGAACAGAGTAGATTTTAAAAAACAAAACAAAATATATGCTCGTTTCTGTGCCAGGGCACGAGCTCTGCCCACACCAGCAGCCCAGCCAAGGGTCCCTGCACTCCCAGGAGGGGAGAGCTTCAGCACAGAGTCCTGAAATAAAGTGACACGGATGTTTTTCTGCTCTGTTGCATTAGTCATAATTACAACATGCCATTATTTTGCTATTTGCTCCTCTACACTTAAAATCAGCCTCTGCTTCCACTGGGAAAGAAAGGATCCCTACGTTTTAAAAGCCATGTCACAGCACAGGGAGCATTTACATGAGAAATTAGCTCCAGTATTAAATGCTACATTGTCTAGGAATAGAAAATACAATATAGAATGCTTCCCTAGTACTGGATTGCAAAGCTGAATTGTTTGTCTGGTTTCCCTCAATCACACAAAAAGGCAATTCTAGGTGTGATTGTGTTCCTGTAAGTGACGCCTCCTGTCAGGATTGGCAGAGCAGAAATAGCTGAAATGTTTGGAGATGCGGGAGGTCGGGCCCTGCCCGCACAGCGAGAGCAGAGGGTGCTCAACAAAACCACTTATTTACAGATGGGCACCCACTTAGGCTCCTGGCTGAGCTTGAAGGGAGAAGTGACAGAAAAAAGATTGCTAGATTTCTAACTGTCCTCTCCATACTTGCAAGACTTGAATTTGCCAGTTTTCATCTATTACTGAATCAGAAAAAAAACCCCAAAGTAGATTGAAAGTGCTTTCTTATCTTTTTAAATATATGAAAAATTTAATTTATACTGAGTCTGTTTAACAATCAGAAAAAAACACAGAGGAAAATGTAAGGACCAGACAGCTGTGTGTACATGCACTTAAACTTCAGATGTATTATTAATTCTTCTGCCAGGACAACCCAGTAAAACAAAACATCTTGCTAAGAATCAAATTAAGCAACGCACAAAGAAATTAAAATGAACAAATGTGTATGTCCACAAATGAGACAAGACTGCAAATTGCCACTTCAGCTTCAAACAGCCAGAGCTGAGGGGAGAAGCCGCAGGCAGAACCTGAGATGCTGCTTTAGTTGTCACTTGGGATTTCCCAATGGGTTATTTCTAAAATTATCTCTCAGATTTCTAGATGAAATTGCCAAGGAATTCGATATAGTTGCAGCATATTACTTAACTCATAAATCCTAATTATTAATTACTGAGGTAATCAGCTTTTACAAGATTATTCTCTTGCACATACTTATTCACTGGGCTGCAATTGCAAAAGTAATTTCTATTCCTGAACAGCCACCTCAGCGTTCATTTCATGCACAGTAAAAGAGAAATAAAACTGTACAATAAAATTGCCATCATAAGAAAAGTAAAATCAACTCTGTAATTTAAGAGAAGAAAGAAATATAAACATGGTTATTAGGCCTTCCTACAAAGCCAGGTCACTGAAGTCACTGAGGCTGGTGTGTAGCAGTGCTCAAATGTGAGAGCCCAGGCAGGGCAGTGTGTCCTTCCCTGGGTCAGATCCTGCCCAGCACAGAGCCTGGAGTGCTGCATCCATCCCTGGGGTCAGATCCTGCCCAGCACAGAGCCTGGAGTGCTGCACCCCTGGCATGGGGGGCAGGAACCTGCAGGGAAGCAGTTTCCACCCATCTTCACAGCACTCCAGTTAACACAGGCAGGACCTTGAGCAGTTATGAGGGAGAGTTTGAAGTGAACCTCCAATTTCAGGAGCCAGCCACAAGACCTAAAGCTGGTGTCAGGAACTGGCACCAAACCAGCAGCATTTGGACACCTGCCTGCAGCCAAACTCTCAGTGATATTCAGAAGCCCACGTTGATCATAACCAGCATGAGGCAGGTGGAGGTTTGAGGGTGTGCACAGATAGGTTCAGTGGGGAACATGGTTATTGCCTGAAAATCTGCCAAGGAAAATGGAGGATTATTCATCTTCTCCCTACATCCCCATCAAAAGCACACTTTGCCTCTCTGAGCAATCAAAGAGCAAAACCAGCAGTGAGACCTGGCTTTATTTCTGGCCCAAATGCTTCATGTCTCAAACACACTGCTTATGTCCTGTGGGATGGTCCTGGCCATGCCCTGTGCAGGTGACCCTGGCTGCTGGTTGGGGCCCAGTGCCTGCTGCCTCTGGCCTCCCCAGGGGCATTCCCAGCACAGCTGTCCCCTCTGGGAGGGGAGGGCTGCTGTGGCTCCAGGAGAAGTGCCCAGCTGCTGGTTAATCCCCAAAGGAATGGACTGCATGTCCCATCTGTACTTACTGCCAGCTAGGGAGCAGCAGTATCAATAACATCCTTCTGAAGCTCTCCAGTGTCCCTGGGCTGTTCACAGGCAGCTGAAGAAGAGCCAGCCGTGCCCTGCTCAGAACAAGTCTCTGTCCCAGAATTAGCATGCAGGGGGAATAAGGCTCCCTCTGTCCCACAAAAACCCTTCCCAAGCACAGCAGTGGCAGGGGTCACCACAAGCAAAGACGAGGTGTCAGTGTGACAGAGCCAGGCGCTGGCTGCTGAGATCCTTCTGTCACTGCTTTCACTGCTTTTCCAGGGACATGAGGCAAGGGAGTGGAGCCTCTTTCCAATGCAAGGAGCAGGATTTTCCCAAGGAGGACACGGTTACTCCAGCAACACAATCCCACAGCTCTGCCAGCACTCAGGAAGGGTCCAGCCTTCTGACCTCCTGCCCCTGCTTTCTTTTCTCTACAGCTGTACATAGGCTGGGAGAGGCTTTACTCTGAACACTGCTCAGCCAGATTTTAACTGTAAATCAATCCAAGATGACAGAAGACATTTAATTATTTCTATTTTCCTCTTAATTGTGTTTTGCTGTTGCTAAAATAGCAATAATAGAAAGCTTTGCAGCATTAACTAAAAGCTTTTAGGGGAAAACCACATCTCATTGTGCTGCAGGAATAAAGGACCTGGTAATGCCCATGGAGCATCAAAGTTGAAACAAGATGCTGTTTTACTGGGATGAAAAGAAAAAGAGTAAGAAAGAATGTGTACCCAAGGAAAGGAACTGAGGACTGAGGTACTGCTGCCTCCATCACTCTTATCATGGAGGTTACAAATTCTTGTCTATGATTGTAAAATTAACTTTGTATTTGCTAATATTTAGACTGACATTACTTGTTTCCCAGGTGATATCCCAGCAGTTTCCTGATCGAGTCTCTTCCTTTACTGCCTCAGAGCTGGGTGCAGAGATTGTCTCCTCGGTGAGGGAAGGAGGGTACCTGGCAGCTCCATCATTTATAGAGTTGATTGGGAAT